ATACTGAATGTTCTAAGTACAATAAAAGAATGAATTATAAACATTGGAAAGAAACAAATGACTCAATACTGTTAATATTCAAAAGTATCATGACTGTCTACATAGAAAAACCTAAGATCATTGATAGGCCCCAGAATTATTAAGAAAGTCCAACTAGTCTTATGAATATAAAATATACAGAATTCAATTATACTCCATTATATCAGCAATAGGAAATTAGAATAAATTGGATGCAGTGGCTCATGCCTGTAATTCCAGCTTTATAGAATTTTTTGAAGAGATATTAGAATAAGGAATTTTAAAAATACCACTTAGAAACAAATCTAGCAAAAGATGTATAAGATCATTATTTTAAAAATCGTAATCATCTTCCAGCCTGAACATGGCGAAATCCCGTCTCTACTAAAAAATACAAGTTAGCCGGGTATGGTGCCCCACAACTATAGTCCCAGCCACTTAGGAAGCTGAGGCACAAAAATCACTTGAACTCAGGAGATGGAGGTTGCAGTGAGCCAAGATTGTACCACTGCACTCTAGCCTGCATGACAGAGCGAGACTGTGTCTCAAAAAAAATAAAAATAAAAATAAAAAAATCTCAAAATCTTAAAACAATTTGGGGTGTAATTTAGCAACTTCTAGTAAGTTTGAAAATGCATACCTTAGACTTGGTGTGGGTGGGGTCTAAAAAAAAAAAAGAAAGAAAATGCATACCTTACAGCCCAATAAATAAAATCCTAGGTTTATACCTAAAAACACTCTCCCAGATTGCACAAGAACCTCATTTAAGTTTATAATAGTAATGACTAAATATCTAAGTGACCATCAACGGGGAAACACATAAACTGTGGCATAGTCACACAATGAAATGCTATATAGCAGTCAAAATAAATAAACAAAAGGCTCATTTATCAACATTTTGTTTTCTTTTTTAAAAGGTACGCTATCAAAGACTACAAGTAAAACGTCAAGACATGCAAAATAAAATATGGCGATGGATATTAACATATACATGTGAGTATGAAATTAAACATGGGAATGAAATACATCAAAGTCAGGGCAGTAGTTACCACCAATAAAGGAAGAAGGGGAATGGGCTTGGGGTGACAAACACAAGAGGCTTCATCCACTTTTGTATTATTTTTTTAAAGTATGATGAAATATTAATAGAACTAGACAGCAATGTGCATGTTCATATTAGTCTGTACAGTTTTCTGTAAACTTGAAACATTTTATCATTAAAAAAAGAATAGCATTAATAGCACAAAAAAGTCTTTTACACGATTTGGGCAATCTTCCCATTCGCTCATTTCAGACATGGTATACACTCTCTAAGTGAGAGAAACTCAGCCACCTGTCTCTGCTTCCCCTCCCTATCTCCATCTCCTGTCCTCCCATGTGACCAGCTGCCGGTGAGATCAGACTAGAGCTTAGAGGACGGAAACAGCCCCACAGGCTTCCAGCTCAGGCCACCTGTTCCATCTCCGATATCAGAGGCAGGAGACAGGTAATAATAAAGCATCCCTTTGCTTTCCCTTTACCACTTTCTCCTATATAGTTACCATCTTCAGTGACCTCCCTAGGGGAGGCAGGGATGTCTACAGATTAAGATAGATTCCAGCATAGCTGGTTCCCTGGATATGATATCATTTAAAGGATGCCAATTTCAATCTCAGGGTGTGGTGAAAGGGGCAACTCTCTTGGGACAGTGAGGCTTGTTTTTGTTGTTTTGTTTGCTGGGAACAGAAGTATTTGTATGTCCACCAAGAAGATCAATAGCATCATTTGGTTCAGCCCAAGCTCTTTCTATGGAAAACTAACTGTGCGTGAGCTAAAAACTCCATGAAGATTAACTCGATTTTAAACTTCATTTATAAAAGGTCAGAAACAGCTCAACTTTCTATCATCATTCTTTAGTAAAATTGTGTAGTGCTTTCTGCAATAAAGCACTAATATATTTATTGTCACCAGAGCATCAAAGTTCATAGCATTCTGCAAAACTTGATTTCTCAGAAAAACCTTGGCCTGAGCTCTTCAGCTTCCAAGAGATGGTCATTTATGGCCCAAACGTTTACTTCTCATCTCAAAGTCAACAATAAGCAAATCTCTTCCTTCACTCAGAATCCTGCACAGACCCTACAATGCCTTCGTGTTGCCCTCGGTGGGAAAACCAGACTCCCTAAGAGGACACAAATGGTCCTTCCTGATGTGAACCGTCACTAGAACCACATCCATCTTATTCACCGCGGTATCACCTGCATCCGCCACAGTGCCAGAGGCTTAATAAAGACAAGAAGACATGGGACATCTGCTCCTCCCCATTCCAATCTCGCTCGAGCCTCTTGGGCTTCTACTGTACACAGGAAGTTAAAATATTCGGACATCTGCAGGAAGTGTATATGCTCTAGAAAGGAGATGCAGATTTCACTCTGATCCACAGTAGGTTGGGGAAAGTCAACAAGGCTGACAAGATGTAAAGCATGAAGTAAGATGCAGCCACCCCTGAGACTGGCTTCCTCTATGAGGAGGCAGGATGTACAGGGAGCCAGAGAATGGGGTCGGGTTGGGATGAGTTCTAGAGGCCTGGCCTTTCCTTCTGTCTCTTATTAAGCCCCTCACCCCTTGACTCCCTCCCACTCAAATGATATCATCCCTAGTGATTTGGTGCATTCTACCAAAGTGCAGGGGAAGTATTTCCTATACCCCAATTCAGGTACATTTGAGAATAACAATACTGAGGGGGCCCTTACTTTGTGCAATAATCTATTACATACATCTCAACCAATCTTCACCATAAATCTATGTGACAAGTACTGTCACTGGGTTGAACTGGTTTAACAGTAACTATTCACCAAATAACCAGAAAGATCTTTGTAAAATATAAATAAATAAAATCATAACCAATCCCTAAAACCTTCAAACAACATGCAAGTTCCCTGAGGTGGTTTCTAAGGCCCATGTGTTCTGGCCCTGCCCACCTGTGTCCCCTCAGCTCACACCACCCTCTCCCTTGCTCCCTGTGCTCCAGCTCACTCACATTTTCTCTCTCAAACTCCCTTCCTAGAGAGAGCTGGAAAGGTAGATCATTGCCATAGGCCTTGAGTGTGTACTTTATTCTACAGGGATCAGCAACAGCTGGAATACAAAGAAAGTAAGACCTAAAGACAGTAGGTGATTTGAATATCCTATAAAAATGTACTCATATATTACTTAGGTGACTCCAATGAGCTACAGACCTCAATAGCCAGCAGCAACCCGTAAGCCATCTCCCCCTGGATCTTCTACACACTTCAGCTCCCCAGTACTCTTTCCCATGCAGGTACAAATTGAACGCCTGAGACATCCTAAGCGTTCAATCCATTCACAAATTGAACGCTTCTTTAAACCCTACACTTAGCCAGTCATGCTGACATCATGCTTGAATAGTCATTCCTCTTGATTCCCAAATCCACATCTTTAATTCAGGCCCTCATTTCTCACTTAAGTTAAGACAAAAATCTAATTGGTCTCCCTGGGCATGATCTTCCTTCCCCTCCAATGTATCCCCCAAACTATAACCAGAAAAATCTTACTAAAATACAAATTGAAATATATCAGCCTTCCAACTAACTCCTCTCCCCAAATCCCTAATCACATATTAAAAACTGCAACTGGCCATCACAGCATTGAAAATAAAATTCCAACAGATTCCAAAGCTGTCTATGATTTTCCTCCACTCTAAGCTCCCATATTCTAGTCATGCTAAATGGCTTAAAGTGCCTCAGATTGTATCCCATTTTCACTCATTTGTCAAAGGTCATCTTTGCTAAATAACTTTCTTAGAATAGCTCCTTCTTCATGAAGACTGAACACAAACGTCCTATGCCTTCTATGATACCTACCTAATCACGGCACTTTGATTATTATAGGTGACTAAAAGTCAATTTATCAGTTTATTACAAAGTTCTGAAGGCAAAATATCTCATTTCTGCATCTGTACTCCCTGACACTAGGGGGACCAAATAAATATTCATATACTTTGTCTTAGAAGGCTCTTCAGAATTAATTCTGGTTGTTTCCCCATCCTTTCACTGAATATCTGCCATGCTCTGTAATAGACTTGCTGAGTGAAGGTCCAGCTTCTTGAGTACCTCCTGTAATGGGGAAATCACTTATTAAACACCAACACCAAGAAGGCCTCATGCTGGACATTATACACAGAACTCCAATAGCAGGAGCTCACAGCTCAGCCTGACACCTGACAAGAAGACCAAGCCCCTGCTGTGGCTGCAGCTGGAAGCTGCTGAATTCCAGATTGTCACAGGTCTCAGAAACACTTGGAAGAAGAACAGATGAGACAACTGCTAGAATTGGGCATAGGAAGAAGAGCCCTCTACTAAGGAGAGAGGAGATACACTGGCCTAAGGTTAATGTCCAGGAGGCCCCTTGAGTGGGCACATTTAACCAAACGGGAAAGCAAAGTCTGCTAAGATTCAAATCCTAACCAGGTGTAATTTTATCAATGTTAAGTATAAATATTTAAACTTTTAGTCTGGGCACAGTGGCTCATGCCTGTAATCCCAGCACTTTGCGATCACCTGAGCTCAGGAATTCGTGATCAGCTTGGCCAAAATGGCAAAACCCTGCCTCTATCAAAAATACAAAAATCAGCCAGTTGTGGGAGCATGTGCCTGTATTCCCAGCTACCAGGGAGGCTGAGGCAGGAGAATTGCTTGAGCCCAGGAGGCGGAGGTTGCAGTGAGCCGAGATTGCATCACTGCACTCCAGCCTGTCTCAAAAAGAGTCTGTTGCCCAGGCAGACAATCATATCTAAATGATTTTTAAAAAATTTTAATCATTTAGAAAATCACTCTTTAAAAACAATAAAGTTGGAACATTTTCAAACAATTAATACTGCTGGGATTTCCCCAGAACTCTTCAACATCATGTTGTCAAAAAGAAAAAGCCTGATGGCATCATTTTGCCCTAATGCCAGAAGAATGTTAAGTGAAAGGAGAAAAAAATATTTGAATAAATTATTTTATTGACGGAGATTAGTTACTCAGATATTAACTGGCTGTAGGCAAAGGGAAGAAACATGGTGAAGTCAGGTTTGTTGGTAAAGGGGAGATGGTACTAAACACTCTGCCCAACAAATATTCAGAATCCAGGGTTTTCGTATTTCTCCATGGTTCAATTTCTCACAGGTCACTTTCCATTCAAAGCATTCTGGAGACCAAATAAGACAGGACCATTTCATGTATCAACCCAGAGTCTTTAGGTCTTCTCTCAGCCAAGGCATCCAGTGAAAATACAATTTATTTTTCGGATTCCTCTGGAAGATTAATAAATCTCTTTCGCATTGCAATGCCATGCTCCCTGCTCTTGTTCCTCTTTTCTATGTACTGGAAAATAAAAGGAAGAGGGGGGAGAAAAGAGAGAGCAGATTATGTAACTATAGCAGTTTACTGTTTAGAAATATTTGCAAAATATAAATGTTCTTTGAGCTTAATAGGGGTTAAATTTTTTAAAAATGTTCTGACAGAATTCTTATATTTTATTTAACTAAATCTGAGATCAGAAATAATGACCTTGGAGAATATCTAATATTGCACAATTTCACTCAATACAGTACAGCATCTACATCCTAATAGGTGCACAAATGATTGCTCAATCAACTTCTTCCCAAAATATAAATTAAATAAGTATTTAAGATGGATAAATTCTGTCCATGTTCTCAGGGGCTCACAATCTAACAAGTCCTCTAACTTCTGCCGAGCACCCCTAGTTGAGGGGCTCACTACTTTGACAGGTAGCCTGTCTAACCTGGAGAATTCTAGTTTTTCCAAAGTTTTTCATTTTAAACCAAGAAGTGCTTTCCTGTAAACTACCACCTTTTATTTCTTCTTGTCTGCCTATCATTTTCAAACATTTGATTACAGATAACCCACTTACTGCCTTTTGGGCTGAACATTACTGGCTTCTACAACTGATGCACAGAACATAGCCTGTCTTTTAATATCTAACCTATAAAATCACTTTTATTCTATAAAGCACTTTAACATCAATGCCTCTTACACCCCTCCCCCCCAAAAAAAATCACAACCAAAACTGAATACAGCGCTCTAGTCACAATTACAGACATGGACTACAGTGGGCCTAGAACTTATTATCAACTCACATTATATTTCTTCAGCTATTATCAAAACAGTATCTGGCTCTTAGCAACCATATTATCCTAATGACTCATATGAAAATACACAGTCAGCTGAACTTCCCAAGGTTTCTTAATCATGAGCAGTTAACAAACCTGATGCTCCTCCCCAAATCCTATGTTTCTTAATCAGGTGCATACAGAAGCAGTTTTCATCTCGAGGGGTTTTCAGCCTAGTATTCTTATCTGGCCAGCAGGTTATAAATAACAGGTGACACAGAGCCTGGCACTTAGATATTCTCAAATAGCCTACATTTAAAGTGGAGAAACTTGATTGTTTTTATATGTATATATTTATATGCTTATAATATATACATTAATCCAACACACTTCAAAGGCAAATGAATGTGTTTTCCCCTGGGCAGAAGAGGAAAAGGGTAAAAGCAAATTCAAATAAAAAAATTGAAAACACGTTAACAGTTAAACATCAAAATATTTTAGGAGCCACAGATCTGGAGAGCAAGGCCACAAAATTAAAGATTAGTGATACAGAACTAATCAGGGATGAACCCTGCCACCCAAGAAAGAGTAATGTGGAGATTCATGACTTTGAGTTACTTCACTCTTCCGGGTCAGTAACTTCAAATATAAAAAGTTGGGCTAGGCCAGGCACGGGGCTCACACCTGTAATCCCAGCACTTTGGAAGGCTGAGGCTGGCCGATCATGAGATCAAGAGATGAAGACCATCCTGGCCAACATGGTGAAACCCCATCTCTACTAAAAATACAAAAATTAGCTACAGACATGGTGGTGCACGCCTGTAGTCCCAGCTACTTGGGAGGCTGAGGCAGGAGAACTGTTTGAACCTGGGAGGTGGAGGTTGCACTGAGCCAAGATCACCCACTGCACTCTAGCCTGGCAACAGAGCACGGCAAGACTCCGCCCCCACCCCCCCCCCACACACACAAAAGATGGCTAGACAATCTTTAAGGAGTTCTCTTAAAACTTTTTCTTAAAAGTTTTGATTGAAGGATTCTAACATATGTCCTAGAATGGTAGTTTTCAAACTTGTTTTCCTTCCTTGTCAAAAGGCTACTTCAAATCACACGTGAAGCACCAAGCCCCTTCAAAGTCATTCACTTTATCTATCATACATTAAATTTACTCATAAAATTGTTGGGGGAAAAAAATAAAAAACACCATTCTAGAACAAGGAGGGATACCTGCCGAGAAAAAGCTTTCATATATACTTTTAATCATGTCTAGTAGATTGCCCCCAGCAATCAGATTGAGAAGGGTCTTAAGGGTAAGTCTTCAGAAGTAAATACTTTGTAGCAGGCCGATAAAATAACTTAGAGAGCAAATTAAAATATAGTCTACATTAAAATATATGAAGATATCTCCAAAGGAAGTCAAGATGGTCCCTGAATAAAAGGGGGGAAAATGTGAATACTAAGTTATTCACAAAACTCCACCAAACAATACAGACAGAATGAAAGGCCAAATTACCCCAAACAAAACAATTAAGAGACACAAAAAAGGATGCCACTAAAGTACTACTAGTGATTTTTTTTTCAGTAAGAAGAACAAAAGGCCAGGTGCAGTGGCTCACACCTGTAATCCAACACTTTGGGAGGCCAAGATGGGAGAACAGCTTTAGCCCAGTAGTTTGAGATCATCCTGGGCAACACACCAAGACCTTATCCTTTAAAAATATTAAAAAATAAAGAATAAAAGCAGTGACACAGCAGAGTCTCAGAAAGAAATGTCCATACGCTTTTCTACTTAAAAGCTTCACGGAATGATGTAATCGGATGACACATGACGCAAAGAGTAGCAGGAGAGCATTTAAAACAAGCATTAAGGGTACAGAAGAAACACATCAGTGCAGACTAAAGGATTAGTGATGGACAAGCAGCCAGAAAAGTATCTACGAATTAGGGAATAAAGCAACAAAAAACTACACAGAGGATTTAGAAAATAAGTCAAGGAAAACACACAAAATGTATATGAAAACAAAGTCCGACAAATAAGAAAAATATTTCCAACAGTCTACCAAATAGTCACTAACAGATCTCAGGCCAGCTAAGAAGACAATTTCATATGAAGATCTAACTGACAAAGCAGTGGCAAAATTTCTGAACTCGGGGGAAAAAATCTAAACACAGGAAAAAAGCTATGTTATGCAGCTGCATGTAAAAAAACAAATAGGTATGCCAGATAAAATAGGATGATCTATATTTTTCCATAAGCTTACTATTTATTTATTTATTTTTTTTTGAGACAGAGTCTCATTCTGTTGCCTAGGCTGGAATGCAGTGGTGTGATCTGGGCTCACCACAACCTCCACCTCCCAGATTCAAGTGATTCTCTTGCCTCAGCTTCAGGAGTAGCAGGGACTACAGGCACCCACCACCACACCTGGCTAATTTTTTTGTATTTTTAGTAGAGATGGGGTTTCACCATGTTGGCTAGACTTGTCTCAAACTCCTGACCTCAGGTGATCCTCCACCTTCACCTCCCAGAATGCTAGGATTACAGGTGTGGGCCACCACACCCAGCCAATATTATCTTTTAGAGGGTCTCACTCTGTTACATAGGCTGAAGCACAGTGGTGGCCTAGATATATAGTTCACTGCAGACTTGAACTTTTGGGATCCCTAGAGATCCTCCCATCTCAGCCTCCAAGTAGCTGGGACAACAGGTGCATGCCACCACACCCGGCTAAATTGTAAGAGATTTCTTAAGAGACAGGGTCTTACTATATTGCCCAGGTTGGCCTCAAACTTTTCACCTCCTGTGATCCTCTTGCCTCAGCCTCCTGAGAAGCTAGGATTACAGATGCCAGCTCATAAGCTTACTAATAAAATAGAAACACTGCCCTAGATGTAGTTTTCATATAGACTGGTTTTTTCATATAAAGGACAAATATGTTCAATAAATCATTTAAAAACGCTAATAAGGCTGGGCATGGTGACTCATGTCTATAATCCCAGCACTTTGGGAGGCCAAGGTGGGAGGACTGCTTAAGGTTAGGAGAACGAGACCACCCTGGGCAACACAGCGAGACTCTTACCTCTACAAAAAAAATGTGTAAAACTTTAGCCAGGCACAGTGGTACATACCTGTGGTCCTAGCTACTCAGGAGGCTGAAGTGGGATAAGTACACAGAGCAAGACTCTGTCTCAAAAGAAAAAAAATAAACTATTACTCTTGACTCAGAATGCCAAAATGTTCTTTGACCAGTAAAGGTAAGTGTCACACTGAAAAGGAAATCCATGAAGGTGGGGGAAAAAAAAAAGCCTGAGCAGAAAACAAAATCGAAACAAAGATGCTGGACAACTTCAAGTATTACATTTAAACCTTTCATCTGAGGCTAATAAGTTCAAAAATAACAAAAATGAAAGTTGAAAGGCAAAATTTTAGCCATCATATATTTTTAAAAGATCTGGACACAAAAAATCTGATGTACAAAACAGAAATTGAATCAAATTTCTTTTCAAAGGTTTAAAATGCACTCTGCTTGGTTGGCAGTACCTGGAAAAAGACAATGAACTATGTACTTTAGCTATGTGCCCAAGTACAAGTCATAGCCTAAAATCAAGTTCAGGAGATGACAGTTTTCAAAAACAAGTCAAATTCGATCCCTATGACTTACACAAAGCATAACTACAAAGAAATTCAGAATGTCAAAGCTGAGAAGAGCCTAATTCTAACCTCCTCAATTTATATGTGTGTGTGTGTGTGTGTCTGTGTGTGTGTGTGTGTGTGTGTATGCGTACGTATATATATATGCCCAGAGTTTTAGTTACCTGCCAATCAGCTAACAGGTGACTGATAGAAGTCATTCTGCTGGCCAGAGATGCAACTTCCTACACCTTAAAATTCATCCAGATTATCTATAGTAATTATCATAAAGGAAGTTGTTTTCCTCATTTGTGTTCATGGCAAAAAGGCTATGTTCTAAAACTGTCCCCAGAAAAGCTTTCACTTCTTCTCTTCAACAGAGAGAAGGTCATACATGTAAACTCAATTTTCTGTTACACTGAAATTTGGCAAAAATTCAATAATAGTAGTAATATACAACATTCAAAAATTATCTTTTCTCTTGTTCAACCATATCCATCTTTGATACTTTTCTTACCTCCTCCTTCAGGCATTTTCTCACCTCCCGATCAAAATCGTTACAATGACCAAAAAATTTCAGAATGTTGTGCTAAAAGGAAGAAAAGGAGTAAAATATTTCATCCCATAGTATGCCAAGGTTTAGGGCACATAAAATTTAAATACTTCTACAGAATGAGTTTACAGTGTTACTTTGTTAATAAACAAGTAATAGTTAAATCACATGTATAAAACACAGTTGGCCACTGAACAACATGGGTTTCAACTATGTGGGTCCACTTATACATGGATTTTTTTCAGTAACTATATTGGAAAAACTATTTGAACATTTATAACAATTTAAAAAAAACTCAGATGAACCACCATAGCCTAGAAATCTCAAAAAAACAAATTAAGAAAAAGGTACGGCATAAATGCATAAAACGGGTAAATACTAGTCTATCTTGTCATTTACTACCATCAAACATATACAAATTATAAAAAGTTAAAATTTATCAAAACACACACAAACAACAAAACATAGATGGCACCACTCAAAGTTGAGAGAAATGTAAGCAAACATAAAGATGTATCAAACCATAACTACATTAACTGCAGTATATACTAAACTACTGTAATAATTTTGAAGTCATCTATTGCTATTACAGTGGGCTCAAGTGTTACAAGGATCCACTTAAAACACCCTGGGATACCAATAACTACACAGCAAGCAGGTCATGTTTACTGCAATAATCATAAACCTTTAATAACACAATGGGACCCACAGGAGGTGCCACTGGTAATGCTGGAAGTGCTCCCAAGCAGCAGAGAGAAGTTACAACATCACAAGAAAAAGTTGAGTTACTTGAAATGTACTGCAGATTGGGGTCTGCAAGTATGGTTGTCTACCATTTCAGACTGACATATGTCATCTTGTAAACAGAGGATGTAAACTTACAAAATGGATAAATACAATCCAGTACTATAAATGTATTTTCTCCTCCTTATGATTTTTTCTCTAGCTTACTTTATTGTATGAATACAATATATAATACATATAAGATACAAAACGTGTAAATCAACTATTTATGCTATCAGTAAGGCTTCCAGACAACAGGAAACTCTCAGTCAAGTTTTCAGGAAGTCAAAAGTTGTATGTGGGCTTTCAGCTGCGTGGGGATTAGTGCCCCTAACTCCCAAGCTGTTCAAGGATTCAACTGTATACAAAAGAACAAATTATCCTGGTTCTTCTTACAAAGAAGGAATAAATGTTCTACAAGTAGAAACAAAGATTTAAAGGCTTTTTCTAGATAAAATGGAAGCCTACTTAATAACTCACCAAAACCTCACAAAGACAGTGTAAAAGTTTTATCATAACCTAACACTCCTTTCTTAAGGGAAATGTTAAAAATCATAGCACAATCCATTCTCTATTATAGACTGGTGTCAAGCTGCAGTGTGACTACACTGCCATACACAGGCAATGAATAATTTCACTAGCAAACACTGTCCTGTAAAAGAGTTATCTAATGAATGCCTAGTGCTGGAGCCCTTTTCTCATTTCCTCCCACTCAAACTGTCACCAAAACACATCAAATACATAACACAGCTGGGCGCGGTGGCTCACGCCTGTAATCTCAACATTTTGGGAGACCAAATTGGGAGGATCACCTCAGGTTGGGAGTTTGAGGCCAGCCTAACCAACATGGAGAAATCCCATCTCTACTAAAATTACAATATTAACCAGGCGTGGTGGCACATGCCTATAATCCCAGCTACTCAGGAGGCTGAGGCAAAAGAATCACTTGAACCCAGAAGGCGGAGGCTGCAGTGAGCCAAGATCACGTCATTGCACTCTAGCTCTGGCAACAAGAGCAAAACTCCATCTCAAAAAAAACAAAAAACCAAAACAAACAAACAAACAAAAAATCACATAACATTATCATTAGATGCTTTATAAAGGTCATATAAATAAGACATTGATTTACAACATAAGGAAATCTGCCTGAAGTTCAGTCTGCTTTGTTTCAAAAATAAAATAAAAATCTCCTAGTTGTTTCAAGTCCTATTACTATTATCACGGTAAAAAGTATGAGTGCTCTAAAGCAGGTGAAGCTGAAGCCTGAAGTTAAGAACCTGAATTTTAGTAAGAACATAATTAGTGTGTTTGTACTTCATGATTTTCAAGGGTGGGTCAGACAGCATGGTGATCTGCTTTATAATGGCATGTCATAAATGCTGAACTTGATAGTTGTAATAAAAAGCACAAATTTTCCTTTTTGTTCTAATTAAGGCTTTCATGGAAACCAGACAACACATAATTAATAAGCTATGCCTCATGCTATTTATTTTTTTCCTGCTTTACCATCACTTTAAATGTGCGTTTCAGGTCCACATTGAAACTGGTCAGGTTTTCTAGGAAGCATTTAAGATAGACTAAAGTCTGCTATTTGTTACCTAATGACCTTTACAGAATAAATTTTTAATTAAAAAAAATTTTCATTCTTTTTATCTTGCTTTTTTCTTTCCTCTATCATTTCCAAAGAATAAATATTTCCTGTGTATTTTTCCTATACTACTTCCTCAACAACAAATAAACATGACAATGCATTTCTTCCCCTTCTAGTCAAGTAAAAACAAGACAAGGCAATATTTCATAGTTTATATTTACTCATCTCATTCTCCATAAATGTATATCTTAATTCAAAAATCCAAGACAAAATTAATGTACATGCTTCCTTTCACCTCAACATTAACTAAGCTAAAATGAGAATTATACTCTTATGATGGTACATGAAATATATTAGACCCAAATGCCCCAGACAAATTGGTGGAAGAAATGCCCGAGGGCTACAATTTTCTTATACTTTCATGGAGTAAGTCTCCAGTGCCTGGTGTCTATTTCTTGGGAACCAGAACAACCAAGTAATTGATTGAATAAGTCAATTAACAGACATCTGAGAACCTTTTACAGGAAGAACAATGTCCCAGGCACCAGGGATACAGAAGTGAGTGAAGCGGACCTGGGCACTACTTTCACAGTACATAATCAGAGGGAAAGAGACAAATAAGAAGTGACTGCCATAAACCAGTGTTTCTCAAAGTGTAGTCCAGAGGCCTTTTCAGGGAATGTACAAGGTCAAAACTATCTTCTCAATAATACAAAAACATTTATTTTGTCCATTTTCGTCCTCGTACAAGGGTATTGTGGAGTTTTCCCAAGGCTTCATGAACTCTAATTATCATAACAGATTGAATGTAAAGGCAGACCTGAGAATTCAGATATATTTTATTAATTCAGACATTAAAAAATGCAAAAGCAATGCCATTCTTTTCACCTTTTTCTGGTTTTAAAAACAAGATTTTTGTGAAAAATAACTATGCTAACATGTAATCATAACATGTAAAAGTGTAATTTATCACTGTAACTTTAAAATAAATTTTTTAATTTATCACCCTTCATCATTTCTAATCCAATAAATATTGGTAGATATTACCCACATAAACAATAGCTGCCTGGAGTCCTCAATAATGTCAAAGAGTGCAGAAGAGTCCTGAGACCAAAAAGTGTGAGAACTGCCACAAAGTATGTTTGATGCTACCCAAATAGAGTGATTGTACCAGGAGAATCTAGGTCAGGAAAGGGAAAAGGAAATGACCAACTAAGCTGAAGAAAAGTTGAACGATGATAAAACCTGGTTTAACAGTAAGTTGAAGCAGGAGGGATGCTCTAAGTTCAGCAAAGGAAAAAGTATGTATAAAGGCTTAAAAGACAGAAATACCATTCTCCCATATACCTGCAAAAAGAAAAAAAGAGACCACAGGAATGAGGCAGAAAGAGCTGTGGGAGAGTGGTAAAACCGAAGACCTACTTAGGGATAAGTTTAATTAAGGACTTGAACAGAAGGCAAGAAATTTATAATGCATTCTATAGGCAAAAGGATCTATTCAAAAGGTAACAATGGGCAGGGCGCAGTGGCTCACGTCTCTAACTGCAATACTTTGGGAGGCCAAGGCTGGCGGATCACCTGAAGTCAGGCATTTGAGACCAGCCTAACCAACATGGTGAAACCCTGGCTCTACTAAAAACAAAAATTAGCCAGGCATGGTGGCAGGTGCCAGTAATCCCAGCTACTCAGGAGGCTCAGGCAGGACAATCACTTGAACCCGAGAGGCAGAGGCTGTAGTGAGCCAAGATCACACCACTGCACTCCAGCCTGGGCAACAGAGTTAGACCCCGTCTCAAAAAAAAAAAAAAAAAAAAGTAACAATGATTAAACTTATTTTTGAAAGATCACTCTAAATGCAGTATGAAAAATGGATTTAGACAAAGAAGAAAACAAAATCACCAGGAGACCAGATAGAAGTCCTTTACAGGTGGCCCCAATAAAAGTGTTGGCACAGACTATGGCAGTGGCACTAGCAAAGGAGAACAATGGTTCAAGAGAGATTCGGCAGAGAACGAACAGCACCTGGTAAAGGCTCACTGGAAGAGATAAGGCAGATGGAGGAATTAAAGATGACACTGGCTTCCAGCTAAGAATGACAGCAGAGGTTTTTGAAAAAAGATAAGATGAATTTGTCTCTGGACATGTTGAGTTTATTGGTAGAACAGTTAAGTCCACTATCTAGTTGAGATAAACAGACCTGGAATTCAGAGGAAATCTGAGCCAAAGATACAGATTTGAGAGTTACTGAAACCATTAAAGTGAATGATTTTTTTGCAAGAAGATGTAGCCTAGGATAGACAGGAGTCTGCCAAGGACACTGAAGAGTGGCCAAAGAAACTTACAGAAAACCAGAGAAGAGAAAGGTATGATAGAAGCCCGTGGAAGGGTGTTTTGAGAGGGAACTGAATGCTGCTGGGAGAAAAGTAAGTTAACTACTACTGAAAACATTCACCAAATTTGGCAGTAGAGCAGTCATTCGTGATCTTAGTCGTTCTGCGACAGTAGTGAGGGTAGAAGCCAGTGTGTAAGAACAAGCAGTAACCTCTCAATAGCTAGCTCTGAAAGGGACACTAACACAAAATACCAGAAGGCTGGGATTATGGGAAGGAATCTTATATATTCATCTTCCCAGGATAGAAAAACTGTGGGCATTTCAAAATGC